CATTGTATATATACTGTCCTTACAACGTACTTTACGATCTACCACGAAGCAAAATCGAGATATGAACATAGCTATTTATTTTTACCTTCTAGTCATCGATAAAACGATATTTTCCGTTTGACGGCTCATTGACACTATTTATACGTAAGAGTTTTGTTAGTCAGCACCTACTTATCCCACCCCTTTACTCGACTGAATTTTTAATCATAGTAATGTTTAAAAGCAAGAAAGCCGGAAGAAAGAAACAACCGATAATACTATAGTATTGTGTACAATTGTATAACAGAATACTTGCACAAAACTGCAACAAGTGTCCCGATAGACCCAATTTTACTTAATACGAAGGGTACTTTATGTCAACAGTATGTCTGTTATCTTAAATATAGCAGTCATTACCACAAGGTTTAGTACATCAAGAAAATGAATGGCGTACAATTATTGGTTGTTTTTTCGTTTGAAATACAATTTTCACAAATACTTACCGTAAATTATATGAACATAAAATAATAAATAATGTTCTATTTTTACTCGGCCTTACTATTTTACCTTCACTATGCCAGATGATTCGAAAATTGTCTAATAAGGAAGTGATAAGAATTTATAACATGTATATAATGAAACATAAAACGTGGAGCACGTGCGCACTTCTTTCATTCGTCAGACGATTAATCTGATTGCGAGAGCTCTTTATTACGGTACCCACCTTCATTTCTTTATTCCGGTATAGATGCATATGACGTAAATATTTGAACACCAATTTACCATCGTGTAAAAAGTCGATCCTTTATGGTTGCAGGCATTTCTCTCTGCAAAAAATTCTTTCCCATTGTCCCGGGAAAGTTAAAGAGACGTGCGAACCACACGCGTGAAAACCTTGAATAGATAACGAGAACGTTCACATTCTTTTCCGAATATATTCGAGAGCATCGAAGATTAAATGAATAAGAGCAAAAAAGCGGGATGAAAGAGTGAAGGAAGGCAGAAAAGATTTTCACGTGTCATTTCAACTAAAAATTCTCTAAATCTGAAGACGTGTAGCTGTTTAATATCTGAAGACAACATAAACGAAGAACAAAAAGAAGTATTCTGTGAGAATAATAATAAGAGGATATGAAAATGGCAGGTGGAAAAAATGGAAAGAATAAGAGGAGATGAAGTTAGGACCATGGAGAGGAATGTCAAGGGAGGCCAGTTCCTACAGAAAGAGTAAAAACAAGAGAGGAGCGCGTCAAGAATGGAGCGAGATCGTAACTCACACCTGTCAGATTCATAAATATTTGTTATAACAGCACGACAAGATATCAGAACTCGGCGAAATTGTAAAGTTTTCTCTTTGGAGGGGAGGAAAGTAGATTTATTTTAGAATTACTTTACTAGAATTATTTACTTATTTATTTAGAGTTACCTCATAAC